ACATTTCCGCCAGCATTTTCCTCAGTTTATGGTAATCAATAAAAGTTTTGTATGATTTTTTTGAGTTTGTGTTTATTCTTTTTCTAGATTGGAGTTCATATTGTAGTATGATGCTATAGTGATCTGAAATAGTACTCTAGAATATAATAGGATGCAAAATGTGGTCTATACACGTTTTACTGCCACCTTGTACGTGTGTTTCTCTGTTTATCATCGAATTGAAGTTGTGCTCTTGTAATATGTTTAGATATCCATGACAATCGTCAGTTTCACTTAGAATATCCAGATTCATATCACCCGTAATTATATTTAAATTATTTCTGTATTTTCAAACAGAATCCTGTGGTTTCCTTCACTGAGTGCGTGTTTTGCCACAGCTGACTTGTTCGTTTGACCTAATCTCAAGTTTTTTTCATGCTCCTTCAGCCTTGTTCCCATGGATCTTATGGTGCATCAAGATGGTTCTACTATCTTCATATTTCCTTCTCGTAGACGTAGATAGCTTCACAATCACATTGGACAAAAAAATCACATAACATCATCATAAAATACTGGCCGAGTCAACAGATCAAACAAACATAAAAAAGTCAATATAAAACATAAAACATACAAGAAAAAAGTGAATGAGCTACAGTCAAATTAGGATTCAAGGAGAAACTCATCTACAGAGTAGTATGCTTTTTGCAATAGAAAAATCGTGAGTCGCCTCTTAAAGACATTGATATTTGAGGATTTATTTGTCTTCACTAAGCTTATTATATAGCTTAAACTCAATGCACATGGGGTGATGGTTTGGTACTGTCAATCTACTATAAGGTTGAGAGTTATTTCTGGTGGAATGTTCATGGATTTGCTCATTTCTAGGAATAATTGAAATATTGTTATCAGTGTTTGGTAGATATACAAACTAGGCATCGTTAATAAACAACGAATAAATAATGGCCTGCAGTGTTCACTTGAAGATACACCAGCCAGAATTCTGATTACCTTTTTCTGAATAACAAAAACTTCATCAGCTTCAGCTGATAAGCTCCACTGTTCAAGATCTTAGGAAATTACTGACTAAATCAAACTGTGGTATAAAAGCTTGAGAACATCAGGAAAGACTGTTTGTTTTAACCGACGAAGTAAATATAAATAAATATTACTGAAGTTTTTTCCCAACACCAAATCGTTATTTTAACACCTCGACACGTGTTTCGATCACCAAGTGATCATCTTCAAGAGGAAGATAAAACTGTTTTATCTGTTTTATCTTAATGTATTGAAAATATTTCTGTGACAAAAAAGTTCATGCACCTTTGAAAAAGTGTTTAAAACAGTTGGTTATAAATTTCCTGGAGCTTCGAGAGGAAATAACGAATATAGGAAAGTCAAATTTCAGCTACTGCAAATATCGAAATTCTCTATAGGACCAATCTTGTTCTCCTTAAAAAAATGTATGAAAATTATCCGAACGTTTTTTTGCAATCCAGTTTGTATCTGGAAGTTACTTCTTCGTATGATCTACACTACATAGACTTTACAAAGGCGTCATCTTTGTAAAAAGTTTATTTTGGAATACTTTGCTCTCTTCATTTTNTCTGTCTTCGAAGATTCCGGTTAAAGCTTCGCTGACTATGATGCTTGCGTTATAACAGTTGAGATGGGACTCAAAAAAAAGACAACAAAATTAATATTCATTTAAAATGTAAATATTATAACTATACCTGGTACGGTCCACTTCATAAACCAACCCGATAATAATAATAATTGATTTTAAATTGTAAATACAAATTTTCCACCTGGTTGCCAGGCGTAGTTGCATGTAGCAAAGTGTGAGCAGTTTTGAAGATTGAAATCCCGTTCACACTTAACAACCGCGAACAAGTATTTTCTTTGATGTACCACCTTCTTCTCGATCTTTTCTGAACGCGAACAAGTATACGTTCGCTCGCTTGCTAGCCCGTACTCACCAGACGATTATTGATGCAGAATACTCGTTCACATTTGTTCGCTCTTGTTTGCTCGTGCTCGCTTTTTTGGTGAATACGCTCCTTAAGGACTTTTGTAGGTAATGCAATCTATTTGAGTCACAGGCTGAGACTTCTAGTGAATTTTACTTTCCCTTTGATTCCAGAGTTATAGGTAGAAATGAAAAAATCTGAAGACTGTATCCAGGATAGACATACGTAAATATTTCGAAATTGAATCTTGAAATATTAATCTCTCTCAACTACCTGTACCGTTGGTTCTGGTAAATGCCTGCCAGAAAACAACTACTTCCCCTGCTAATACCACGATGGATATTGAATTATATCCGACAGATATTAAATTGAGTATTTTTGAAAAATTGAGTTTCCAACGACATCTATTGAAAACATGTTTCCACTAGGCAAATTATTGTCATCAAATAATGGCAATCAGATGGCATCCGTGTTAGGAATCACACGTTGAATGGTAAGACCTCGTTAGTCCTTAGCTTGCACAAGTTTTGACTTCTGAGGGTTGTCGTTCGTAGGGGTGCGACAGCTGGTTAACGGAGAAACAGATTTAAACAGATGAGTGTCATGAAATAATATCCAGTGTCAGTTATAGTGTTATTGAATTTTATCTCTATGCTCACCTCTGATTTAGTTGTAAAATTTAGTTTTAGTCATCCTCTGAAGAAGCAACTTGGTAAGCGAAACGCACGTCGATACAGTGTTTTTGTTCTACCGTTCGAAAAGTGTTTTCAATAGAATAATTTCTTGAATATCACTGGAGTTTTTTCCCAACACTGTACCGTAATTTTTTTTCAACACCTTGATACGTGTTTCGATCACCAAATAATCATCTTCAAGAGGAAGGATCCAACTGTTTGATCTTGTTAAAATAACGGTTTGGTGTCGAGAAAAACTCCAGTAATATTCATTACTAAACCAAAGGTTCCAAACATTGCATCACAAGAATAATTCCTTGTTTCAGAGCTTCATGAGAACTTGGGTATGTAACTTTCCTAATAGGGGTTAGGGTTAGGTCCAAAGTGAGTGGATCTATTCAACTCTCCACCACAACCCACAAGGGTTTATTGTGGCTCACACCTATTCACACTCGACCAAATAAACCCAGATTTTTAACGAAGCCAATTAGTTTGTATGGTGAGTGGTCTTTCAGGGCAGATGATAAGAGTACGGCTCTGCCGAACTCTAAAAACCTGATTCGGTCCCCAGCGAGGAAGGCACAAAGTATATGCTCTGCTGTTTCATCGTTGATGAAGTAGTCGGATAGTCAAGGTGCAAGATTCCCACCTTGATACCCGCGACAACCTTTCCATATAAGGGTTTTTGCACATCAGCTACACCTGACGATGCCTTAGATTCAACCGTGCAGGGCTTTTTCGCCTCTGGTTTTGGTGAATCATCACTTGAGCTCAAACGTTTGCTAACCTGCTCATGGGAGGTTTCTTCTTCTGCCTGAGACAGATTCTGCTTATGCCGCTCGAAAATTTTGTGCAAGGCGGTTTCATAAGGTACCCCGCTCTTGAGGAGACGACTCAGTTGTTTCCTGGCTGCACCACCAATCCTTTTTTTAGGTTCAGTTATTGAATGAGGGGTTGGAGAGTTGAGAAGCTCTCGCTCCTGATATAAATTTACAGGAAGGTTAGTTGGAGTCATAAGCTCGTCATCCATCTCCTCTGTAGACTCGGCATCAGAAAACATTTTTGAGTTTACTCTGTCCATAAAAGTTCTACGAGTAGCTATGGAAACAAGGTCAATTACGGCAGAGCCCAGCATTACCGTGACAAGGCGCTGCTACGTCGAGAGGGCGCCATGTATCTCGAAGGTTCCGTAGAGACACCTGATAGGCTCAGTGTCATTCATCCTCTCGGCACGAATACACACACCTTTGGATTAGGCCATCGTTGGGATACCATTCAGTTAGGGAATAACTGAACCACAAGTGATTCTATCATTCCCGTATCCAGCGGAGTTACGTGGAAGCAGGCATCCAACCCACACATCCCAATTCAAAAACAGGATGCATAGTGGTTCAGGCAGTGAAAGATGAACAAGGACATGTAACCCGCCCTTTCCTAATATATCTAATAATCCTTTCCACTGTTTTTATTGGGTTTATAACCTTCCACAATCTGAAAAAATAAAAGATGGATCAATAGAGAATCTGCTGAAGTGTAGTAAAGGGTGAACTGAAAAGTTCACCTCGAAAAGTTACGGCGTAATATTAGTAAAACACTCTCTTACTATTACGATATATTTTCAAGCAATATCTAGATTTGGAATATTGTGACCCACGAGCGATAATATTCAAGCATACTGAGCTTTAATTACTTCAGATATTTTTTCACCTATCATCATGCACGTCCCACTTGGAGGTCTAGCTACAGTAGTGGGAAAGACACTAGAATCCGCAATTCTCAATCTCTTGATTCCAAACACTTCTAGATTATTATTAACCACTGCTCCTTTCTGTGGATCGGTACCCATGGGACACGTACCTGTGGCATGGTATCCGAAAGAACTGGTTTGTCTCAAAAAGCAATGCCAGTACTCCTTAGACAGAAATTTTTCGTGTTGACAACCAGGAACTGGGCTCCCCTCATATTTAACCCTGAGTTTTTTGAATGGAGTAGTTTCTATCAGTTTGAAAACCAACTCGATACCTTCATACATCACATTAATATCTTTATTTCCAGCGTCTGAGAAATAGTTCAAATCTATCAAAGGATAGTCGAAGGGACTATTGGATTTCAGTCTGACGGTACCTTTCGAGTGGGGGTTGAGTAGAAATACAAGAAGTTGTATGGCATTCGTTGTGTTACCCCATACTGCCTGGTATGTATCTTTTCTCCAGTTGTTTACTTTGATTTCCAGTTCTGTAGGTGCAGTTGTCTGGCAGTATAGCTCGAAATCGGAGAAGTCTGTATGTTCATTCAAATAAGACTTATACCACCCCACTCCTTGAGAAGTAGATGCTGTTGTTAGAGCGCCAACACCATGCAAATAATCCTGAATTCTTTCCTCTTGCGTTTGAGCAGGTGAGTAAATTTTAGAAGAAAAGATTAGGGAGTTAGTAACGACATCATCTATGAATGCACTGCCAACTTCCAAATTCGCTATAACATCTATTCCTTTCCCTCTCAGGTGGTTCTTCGGTCCGATACCGGAAAGCATAAGAATTTTAGGGCTGGAGAAAACTCCTGCTGAAAGAATAACCTCTCTTTTTGCCTCGACGTAATATATTTTGCCATGACGGGTGAACGTTACCCCTTTGGCAACCTTAGTACGCTTATCAATTTCAATCTTGGTCACAAAGCTCTCTGTGGAAATATTTAAGTTTCTTCGATCCAAGACTGGTTTCAAAAAAGCAGCACTTGTATCGTGCCGTCTACCATTTTTTGTATATAGCTGAAAAGCTGACACAACTTGGCTATATGGTCCATTACAATCAGAGACGTTGAATCCTAGTTTTCGATTGGACTCAAAGAATATACCAGTCAGTTGGTCTGGTGGCAGACTTTCTTCGACGTTCAAAGGCCCTTCGGTTCCATGGTAATCTTCATCGATAGGTGTCCACGGATTTCTGTGGTCAAATTTTTCTGACTTTTTGTATAATGGCAAAACGTTTTCGTAGGACCATGAAGGATCTTTCAGAATCTTTGCCCAATTTTTCAAAACTGCTGGATCAGCATGGTTATAAATACCTCCATTGATTAATGTTGTACCGCCAAGTCCTTTTCCTTGAGAAGTGCTACAAAGTTGGTTGACCTTACCTGGTAATGAAACAAAAAGAAATAGGTAAAAGTGTCGTTGATGTCTTCCAAATAACTGAATGATTTTTCGATTTACCTAAACATGCAGTAGTTTGTGGTACACTTGTGAATCCCCAATTGTACTCGGAAAGAAGAGATGGAAAAGTATAAGTGGGAAACTGAATGAAATCATAATTGGGCCATTTCCCAGCCTCCAATAATAAAACCTTGAACTTTCGAATTTCTGAAAGTCTACTAGCTATTACTGCTCCTGTGGTTCCTCCTCCTATTATTACAAAGTCGAAGGATCCGTATTCTGAAAATCAACAAAAATATCATATGATACAGATGGAATCATTTCAAACTTCAATTTTTATTCTATGTAAAAAATATGTGAGGAGTATAATGATCGTAAGAATCGTGTATATGATCATCATAATTATATATTTTTCATTTTTAATATCGCAAGTATGTAAAATATTCACTTTGATAAATACATTATAAAAAAAGTAGCAAACTTCAGAGAAAAATAGGATATCTGGTTGTCGAATTAAATTATGTGATGCAATTGACCAATACATGATGAACATTTGTAACCGCAACACGTGTTGCGGTTTTATGAACTGTCCAGTAAAAATATCACAATAAAGTGTTACTTGAATAGGTTATCTAATTATCTCCAATCACATAAAAATCACAAATGAGGAAACAGGTAGCAGTCATCACACCACTCCCCTCAGCAATCTGCGGTATTGATCAGAAAAAAAAAATCGTTGGGAGTAGTACCACATATTTACCTACTCAGGTTAAGCTACGCCCAATAATTTTATTTTCTTTATCTGATCAATACCGTATTTATAAAAAAAGTAGCAAACTTCAGAGAAAAATAGGATATCTGGTTGTCGAATTAAATTAAATTTTCCTGCAGCTGAAAAAGCAAATGCGCCACTGGAATCAATGAAGTCGCACCGGAGCGCCAATTAATTTTTATTGTTGTATTTATTTTATTTTTATCGTTGTCTTAAAATTGTGTATGTTGTAAATCAATCTTGAGATATTGACCAATACATGATGAAAATTTGTAACCGCAACACGTGTTCCGGTTTTTATGAACTGTCCAGTAAAAATATCACAATAAAGTGTTACTTGAATAGGTTATCTAATTATCTCCAATCACATAAAAAATCACAAATGAGGATACAGGTAGCAGTCATCACACCACTGCCCTCAGCAATCTGCGGTATTGATCAGAAAAAAAATCGTTGGGAGTAGTATCCACATATTTACCTACTCAGGTTAAGCTACGCCCAATAATTTTATTTTCTTTATCTGATCAATACCGTAGAATGTTGAGGAGAGTGGTATGATGACCGCTATATAGGACCTCACAAATCATTTTTTTGTTTTCAATACATTATCTACATCATTATTATTTTCTTTGATAAAATCGTTCAACATGAAAAAAAATTACTTATTTTATTTCCATTCAGTTTGTACAGTTTGGAATTGAATCAGATATCATTCATAGAATTGCTACACAATATAGTACATGTTTGTGTCTGAAAGTTACTTCTTTGCATGAACTACTCATGTTTGAATAAATTTAATTTTGAAATCATCTACTTTCTTCCTTCCTTTTGAAGATTTGGATTTTTTTTATGAAAATAAAGAAGTAGAAAGCCAAAATGTTGTTTTTCTCAAAAGTTATTCTCTACTAAAAATATACCCCTTTCAATTTGTGTTCAATAGTATCATCTAGATTGTTTTGAAGATGAAGATAGATTTGCTTTTCGAAACATTACGTTTCTTATGAAGATGGTTTCTTATTATTTGAGTATTTTGTAGTGAATAAGTTTAGAATACCTTGGATAAATTTTCTGTTGGTTTAGCGCCAGATATAGTAGTCTGCCTTACTATACTTGCGATACCTGATGAAAATCCATAACTTATTTCAATACCACTTTATTGTGGTTTACAAAACCACAAAATGTGTTTTGGTATATAATAGCTTCATCGAACGTTGTCGTTGTAACCAAACTCTTCTATATACTAACAATTCCAGATAACGACCAATACCTTCATCTGTGTTTATGTAGAAACCAGTTGAAATTTTTAAATATCATAACAGAAAATTATTCCAACTCAACAAATGGACATGTATAATATAAAAACAACTTGAATCATATGACAACTCAATGACTAACAATTTTACCTGAGCTTAGGTGAAAACTCTCACTATGAAACATATAATAAACTAACTAACAATTTCCCCATCAGAAAACAGATTCAGAAACTGTCTAGTGAAAATTTCACGAAAAGTGTAACTTTTTTTTCTACTTGTTCAGATTTACAATATATATTTTTTAGGGTGTGAGAGAAATTCAAGAATCAATGAAAAAATATTTGCAGAAAACAAGAACCAACTAACTTACTTTAGCTGAAATATGAAAGCATCTTTAATATACTGACCGTAAATCTAGACACTTATGTTCACAAATTTTAGTTTAATTGTCAATGAATTTTTTGATTTCTAACAATTATTGGTGATACCTAAAGCAACTGATTTCAACATTGCTTCAAGATATGAAGACAAATCTATCTTGAATTGTTGATTAACCACTAATACCTGAATTATTTAAGTATAAACATTTCAATAGAAAGTCACCTATAACTTTGTTGTCAGTAGGCGCATACATTTCAGCACTGGTGGGTAATTTATAGGTGGACACATTGGCTAATCCTTCTTCAATCAGCCTACCTAAATATTCAATTGTCCCTGGAAAAAAATAAAAATGATAAATTAATATTCAAACCATGTCATCAACATCATAAAAGACAGTGACTGATTTTTTATTGATGCAAATTAGTACGGACTTTGGTAGCGCTATTGTTATTCTGAAAGAAGTTAGAAGAAATGAAGGAAACGGAAGGAATAGAGAAAATAATTTCAAAAACAATAATAGAGGAAAAAGTCTGCACCTCTCGCAAAAAAGGGAGAATAGGGGGAACGAAGTCGAGAGCTTTTGAATAAATTCAGCCAAGATCTTCCGCGAAAAATAGCTGAAAAAGACCAACAAGTCTGAGTGATATATTCGAGGTTCGTGATGAAGTTAGAGATTAGACATTTAACATTAGAGTAAGAGACACTGAAAGTGAGTTGGAAAAATCAACAAACGGTTTATAGAACATAATCCCGGAATCATGGATCGAGACCACTAGAGTCTTATATCTTCACTCTAGCTCTTGAAGGACAATCATCGTTGAGGATCGTTGAAAATTCGAAGCAGTAGCCAACGATAACAGCTAGTCCAAAAAATGACCACGAATGTTCCAACTATGAGGTCGTATTGCTACCAACCACCACTGAAGATGCACACTGCCGATATTGGACTTGTCCAGATAACGACAGTTTTTATTGAGCAACCGCACTAGTTTTAGTACGGAGAGATCTCACTGAAAATACTTAAAAACATTCCAGAAAGCATATAAAATGATCATTCGAAGATTGGGAATCCTCAAACATACGAAATGAACAACAATAGTTGAAATAAATATATCACAGCCAACTTAAGAGCAGACATCAGCAAAAAGTTCCCATTGATGAAATTGAGTAGAAACTTTCTACAATGGTCTGAAGTTCAGAAAAATATCAAAAATAAGAAGTATTGAAGTATCCAACTACTGATTATCTTTGTACCCTTACACTAGATGAAATGTATGAAGTTGTTTGAAAGTAGTTATCTTACCACTGTACTGGATACAGTCATCCAGTTCTCCGAAGTCCAACGAGTTCTCTCAACTCTTAGGTGTAAAGGTGACATTGGTACGTGAAGAGTTGTCAAAAAGGCTTAAAGTTACCACTGTGAACAAGGGAATGACGTAAGTTCTTGTACACCCTCGTTAGTTTTTGTAGAGGATATCAGCAATGACCAGAAGGGTGTTGTCGTCGACGTCTTCGTCGAAGAAAAATGTCAAAAGGTCCT